GAGTGAAATAGTTCAATGCCTTGGACGAGGTATGAAAACATTAGATATTTCACTTAAGCGTGATCATCGCACTATTAAGAGATTTGTGGCTGATTCAGAGCACAGACGGGTTCGTGCAGATAAAGGCACATTGAGGAAGATTTCTGCCAGATCCATGCATCTGATCAAGAGAGCAGCTGCTAAAATACCATTACATAGCAGCAAACAGATATTTGAAGCTGCTGGTGCCTCTGGAGTCCCATGGACATCAAGGTGTAGAGTCCTCCAGAGTCTTGCAACTGTGCATAAACCTTCTATTCGGCCACCGTTAACCAATGCTCACAAGCAGAAACGGCTGCATTGGGCAGAAAAATACATGAAGACTAATTTTCAAACAGTCCTGTTCACTGATGAATGCCGTGCAACCCTGGATGGTCCAGATGGATAGAGTAGTGGATGGTTGGTGGACGGCCACCCTGTTCCAACAAGGCTGCGACATCAGCAAGGCGGTGGTGGAGTCATGTTTTGGGGCAGAATCGTGGGAACAGAGCTGGTCGGCCCCTTTAGGGGCCCCAAAGGTGTAAAGATGACCTCTGCAAAGTATGTGGAGTTAATGGCTGACCACTTTCTTCCCTGGTGCAGAAGGAAGAACTATGCTTTCCGTAATAAAATCATCTTCATGCATGACAATGCACCCTTTTATGCTGCAAATAATACCTCTGCATCAATGGCTGTTGTGGGGATAAAAGGAGAGAAAGTCATGGTGTGGCCTCCATCCTCCCCTGACCTCAATCCTATTAAGAACCTTTGGAGCATCCTCAAACAAAAGATCTATGAGAGTGGGAGGCAGTTTATATCCAAACAGCAGCTCTGGGAGGCTATTCTGACATGTTGCAAACAAATTCAAGCAGAAACTGTCCAAAAACTCACAAGTTCAATGGATGCAAGACTTGTGAAGCTGCTATCAAATAAGGGGTCCTATGTTACAATGACCTGTTAAAATGTTTAAAAAGTTAAAATGTTGTTAAAAGTTTGATTGAAATAGCTTTTGATTTCAGTAAATATGCTGCAAACACAACAAATGACAATTTTCAGTTCTTTACAACCTATAAAGTGTATTGAAACTTACACTGCGTAATAATTTGGAACAGTGCATTGTAAGTTTTTTATGTTTAAAAAAAATACTGTTATTAGGAGCTTTGTTCAGTAAAATTTGAATTGTACTCCTAATAGTTGATAACATGAGAATTATGCTGACTGTTATTTACATCAATTATTTAGGTAAATGAGAAAAATATAATTTGCATAATAATTTGGAACACGGTGTAAACTACGATGTAAAACAGGTAAGGTAGTGTGAGGCTCCATCAGCATCAAAAAGATATCATCAGCGAACAGGGATAATTTAAAGTCACTGCTATGGGTGCGTATCCCTCGGATATCCGAGTTGGATCTAATGGCTATGGCAAGGGGTTCTAAACAGAGGATAAATAAGAGGAAAGTGGACAAATGGACCGCTAAACCCAAATCTCTCCAGGAGCAGAAACATATAAGGCCAACTAAGTCGGTCACACGCTTTTTGGGCATCCAAGCTCGACGAGAGTAGAAGTCGAGGACTTATTAACAAGATCAATCAAATCAATAGTCCTCCTAGAGTTATCCGTGGCATGTCTAGCTGATACAAAACCCACCTGGTTTCTGTGTATAAGCTTGGAAATACACTTGGCCGTTCTGTTAGCTAATATTTTCATAAATATCTTGTAATCAGAGTTTAATAAGGCTATAGGATGATAATTATCAGAAGGGAGTGGTCTTTATCTGGTTTGGGGATCACTGAGATGTATGCGCGTGTAAAATCATCACATGGATGCGACCCCTTCAGTAGATCCTGAAACAAAGACAAAAGGTGAGGGGCCAGAATGCCAATAAAGGTCTTGTAATATGAGTAGGGAAGACAGTCTGGTCCTGGAGACTTGTGTGTAGGGAGATATTTGACAGCATCCAATAATTCTTCGGTAGAGATGTCTGCGTTTAGAACTGTTACATCAGCAGGTGACAAGTGTGATAGTTGTAAGGAGTCAAAAAAAGCATCAAAGTCAGCAATCTGAAGGGAGGGGGGGGCAAGTGGGTATCAGGGGCTAGACACTTATAGAGCTTCTCATAATATTCTTCTAATACAGTAGCCATAACATGTGGGTCATATGTGGGTTTGCCATCGGACTGGAATAAGTGACCTGGCAGTGAGGGGGATGTTTGAGATTTGAGTCTATTTACAAGCAATTTACAAGCATGCAATGTGGTTTGTTAGATAATTAATAGAATTTTTGCCTAGCCCAAGCAAGGGACTGGACATTTTTGTGCAATTCAAGGGCTCTGATTTGGTCGTGTATACGGGACACTTTCTGATGTCAAGGTATAGGCAGGTTGTTTATTCGTCGTCTTTCAGCTAAGGACAGTTGGCATCTAAGAGATTGTCTGGTACTAACAGAGGCCTTCTTTAAACGAGTGCCCATTGAAATACAAAGGCCTCTGAAGACAGCTTTGTGAGCCTCCCAGAGGGTTGAAGATGAGGCTACCAAGCCAACATTGTATTGAAAATGAGCGTCCAGTCCCTCAGAGAGTTCCTCTCGGAGGTGATCCGAACGCAGGAAACTCTCATTGAGGCGCCAGTTAGTAGAAGAGTTAGGGAGAAGGAGATTAACTGACAGGGAGGCATGATCTGACCAAGTCATAGGGTTGATCTCAGAAGAGACCAAAAAGGGAAGCAGTGACAAAAAAATTATTCAAGTGAGAGAATACATGAGGCGGAGTAGAGTAAAACGTGAATTGCCTATGGAGAGGATTTTGATCCGCCAGGCGTCAAAGAGGCGATGCTCCCGGATCAGTTTACGGAAGGCTGTTGAGGAGGAAGAGTAAATTCCCTTTTTAATGCACACTAATATTTTGTGTGCTTTGTTGCTGAGCCTGTCATCTACTAGGACCCACAGATCCTTTTACATCCTGGATTCCCCTAGAGAGGTTTGCCCTCTAGCAAGTAATTTGCATTTATATTTTTAGTCCCCGGGTGCATTACTTGCATTTTTCAACAATAAACCTCATTTGCCATGTACTTGCCTACCCCATTATTTTAAAAAGGTCTTCATGTAAAGTTTCTATATTTTGTTGTGATATTATTGCCCTACTATAGCTTTGTATTGTCAGCAGACACTGAGATTAAGCTCTTTATACCTACCTCTATATCATTAATGAAAATATTAAACAGAATTGGTCCCAGGAGAGAGCCTTGTGGTACCCCACTTACCACTTCAGTCCAAGTACTAGCCATTTATCACCACCCATTGGACGCCGCCCTATAACCAGTTTTCTTTCCATGAACAAACCCTGTGGTCCATGCCTAGAGATCTTTAATAAATGTTTATGTGTAAGTCTGTTGAATGCTTTTGCAAAATCCAGATCCACCGCCCTTCCTTTGTCTAGATGGCCACTCACCTCGTAGAATGTTAACATATTGGCTTGACAAGAACGACCTTTCGTAAATCCATGCTGATTACTACTGTCAGGGATCTGGGTATGACCAGAAATGTGTGGGAACACAGGCGTGGTCAGGGCTGGAGAGGTGGAATGGTCAGGCAGGCCGTATGGGTCTGTAATGCACCGTCTGGCGGTACCTCTAGCAACCCATGGAATAGGATTCCCCATAGCGTGGAGTCTAAGTCCCAGTCTGCTTGTTCACCAGGGCCCCTGATGGTGGGGATGGACTTGGAGCAGACAGAGACCAGGTTGTGGCCCCTGACTACACCCACCCCTGGTAGAGGGATCCGCCAGAGCTATATTCTGGAGGAGAGCCTGACATGAGGCGGATGGGTCCGTGCAGGCTGGATGGATGGCTGAGCATAAGCGTAGTCAGACAGGCCGGGTCGGTAACGGTGGGGACAGCGCGGTACAAGGCAGCAGGCACAGAATAGTCTGGTCACTTGCCGGGTCAGTAACAGGAGATCAGATCCAATGAGGGTATCCAAGAGAAGTCAGACAGGCCAGGGATCAGGGCAGGAGAAGTCAGCAGAGGTCAGGATCAAAGCAGGGTCAGCAACAAATCAGATAGGCAGATATGCAGGAACACAGGATACCAGATACAGGGGCTCATGGGAAACAAACACCAAGTCCCTGACTGCAGGTCTGGCCATTGCTTAAATACACCTCCTGCAATCAGCCTCAGGTGATGGCTTGATTGCAGGAGTGAGATTCTGGCTGCTGAGAGCACCCGCTGGCCAGCACTGGTACTGCAGCCCACAAGACAGCTGAGCCCCAGCACCACCTGTGCTGAGCACATTCCTGACAGTACCCCCCCCTCAAGGAGCGGCCTCAGGACGCTCAAAAACAGTCCGTAATGGCCCCAATGTTCCACCGCCTGGGTCCGGTAACTGGCTGGACATCCCACTGCCGGAATCAAGTGACTGTCTGGGTCTCCTGCTGATAGGCCTATCTTTTTGCAGGAGACCGCAGGAAGGCAGGTTGCTGGACACAGGATTTCCAGAAGCAGGCTGGGCATCAGGAGCTGGCACGTCAGGCTGGGCAGTGGACAAAAGCACGTCAGGCTGGGCAGTGGACAGAGGCACATCAGGCTGGGCAGTGGACAGAGGCATGTCAGGCTGGGCAGCAGGTACCGGGTCATCAGGCTGGGCAGCAGGCACCAGGACATCACGCTGGGCAGCAGGCATCAGGACATCAGGCTGGGCAGCAGACACCGGGACATCAGGCTGGGCAGCGAGCAGAGGCACATCAGGCTGGGCAACGAGCAAAGGCACATCAGGCTGGGCAGCGGGCACCGGGCCATCAGGCGGGGCAGCAGGCACCGAGTCACCTGGCACGACAGTGGGCACCGAGTCACCTGGCACGACAGTGGGCACCGAGTCACCTGGCACGACAGTGGGCACCGAGTCACCTGGCACGACAGCGGACACCGAGTCATCTGGCAGAACAGCAGGCACAGGGTCACCAAGCTCGACAGCGGCCACCGAGTCATCTGGCACAACAGCGGGCACCGAGTCATCTGGCAGAATAGCGGGCCCCGAGTCATCTGGCAGAACAGCGGGCTCCAGGTCACCAAGCTCGACAGCGGGCACCGAGTCATCTGGCACGACAGCGGGCACCGAGTCATCTGGCACGACAGCGGGCACCGAGTCATCTGGCACGACAGCGGGCACCGAGCCATCTGGCTCGACAGCGGGTATTGGGTCATCTGGCTGGACCACGGGCACCGGGGCGCCAGGCTGGACCACGGGCACCGGGGCGCCAGGCTGGACTACGGACACCGGGTCATCAGGCAGGGTCGGGTCATCAGGCTGGGTCGGGTCATCAGGCTGGATCGCCGACATCTGTTCCTCAGGCTGGACAGCAGACATCGATTTCTCAGGCTGGACAGCAGGCACCGGATCACCAGGCTGGGTAGGATCACCAGGCTGGGTCGGATTACCAGGCTGGGTCGGATCACCAGGCTGGGTAGGATCACCAGGCTGGATAGGATCATCAGGCTGGGTAGCGTACACTGGATCATCGGGCATCAGGCTGAACAGCGGGCACTGGGGCACCAGGCTGCACAATGGAAGGCGGGTTCTCAGACAGCAGGCTGACCGGTTTGGATACTGGCAGGATGGTACTGGTTGGAAAGAATCTTCGCTTCTTCTTGAGTTTAGTTACTGAAGCACTGCAAGTAAATGCAGGGCTGTAAACGGAGAGAGCAGCTAAAGACAGAGAAGAGCTAGAGGATGGAACAGAGAAGGGAGCAGTTTCTACAGAGGACTTCTTTACAGGGTTAAAGGCAGGATAGGTGCAGCAAGTGGGAACAGGGGACTGACATGTGGTAGATAGCAGGGTATACTTGGCTGTAACTGGGAGTGCTGTGGGAAATGGAGGAAGAGAGCTTTGAGCAGAGGAATGATTAGAAGCAGGACTGGGTTGTTGCAAGCTGACTTAGGCTGGGTGTAACAAATCTGACCATGTCTGTAGTACTGGTTGAACAAAGCTCAGCTTACACAAACCTGTCTGACCAAAGACTGCACTGCGTTTATACAATCCACTAGCACATGTTGTGAATAATGCTCCAAGAAGCAATCCGGATCATCCTCCAACAACCATACCAGTGACACTACTTGATCCGTACTGAATGGTGGAAAAAAAGTCATTCCTGCTTTCAGGGGTACTAGATGAATCCAACTCAGCACAAGCCTGGATCAATGCTTGCACCTCAGAGAACTCCATGCCCTGATCTACTAGGGAATGAGCGACCCGTATGCACTCTAGCAGCTGATCCCTGGCATACTCCTTCAGAGTCTGATAGGCATAATCTCTGTCATCTAAGACTAGCAGATACAAGTACACAACCTCCTCAGGATGCATCCTTCACAACAACAAGCCAAGTTGTTTAAATAATTACCGCGCTCTAATATCATCAAAAGGTGTAAAAAAGTGAAAAATGCTTATAAATTAATACAAGTGAAATTAATTGATATAACGTGACTAATTAAATAAATAAAATTAAAACATGTAAAAAATTGATACTATCATATATTAACAGATCACTATATGTGCAATCCTCATATCAATGTGCAAATCTTCCATTAATAAACCTCAGAAAAATTCATGATATAATATAAAAATGTAAAAATTTGAAAAATAGTTAGAAAATGATAATAAATTAAAATAGAAATAAAAATAGAAAAATCTACTGTGAAAAACAGCAATATTGTCCCAAGTGTAACTGTGCAAATGAATGTCTAGCCTAGACAAATATACTCTCCTTCGGTGTGAAGATAAGATCTTTGCAGTGATGTTGTAAACCTGTGTGACTGCAGGGCTGTGAGGGATACTCCCTCCTTTAATCCACTCCTTAATCCTCTGCCTTTGTACACACATCATCCCCCGGACGAAGCTACGAAATCCCTATAGCGCAACGCGTTGGGGAGGGGCAGTGACATCACCGTGCACTCTATCTACGATACGGCGAGTACTGAAGGTGTGTGGACACGCACCCTCCGCTCTGTTTCAGCTGCAAGCTGTGGGATTTTGTTTATCTAAAGCGCAAATATATTATATAACGTGAGTGCAATATGGAAGCACATTAAAGCTGCTTTACCCCTGGGATAAGACACTATATCTTTTATCGCTTTCTTGCATGAGACATACGAGGAATACAAAGACAGAGGATTAAGGAGCGCTGATTAAATGCATCTATCTGGAAAAGAACTAGTGGACTAGTTGCTGTGGGAAAATACATTTATAAATACACTCGTCATCCTTGTGCTGTGATAAAAGACAAAACCACCTTACCACACTCTCCCCAAAAGAGAGGGGATAATGCTGGAAATAGTACGGTTTGTTTTTGCTGGGGTATTATACCACCTAAAAATGTAAAATCATCATAAACAGCGCAGACCGGTCTGCCGTCTTACGTCACTTCCAGTGAGTGGAACGCAGGCCGAAGCGCTGCGGTCCAAGCGGCCATCTTGTGGTTTTGTGATTTAGGCACCCTGTCATCTTCTGCCAAGCTGTGGGATTTCTGATGCTGTTCTGGATACAATGAGAGTTGTGAAAGCCTTTTAGAGGCAATAAAACATACTGATTTTTATTCTATATAATGTGAGTGGCCTGGTGTTTTGATATTATTGCATGCTGGGTGTTGCAATATTACACTATATGTGTTTTTTTATTTCTCCTACAATATTTGGAGCCTGTCTGGGAGGAGAAGTTTGGAGGTATTAGAAGGTGGATTAAAGGTCTCATGTGGTGGAGTAGAGTTTTGGAGGCTGAAAAGAAGGGTCTAGGATCCCTAAAATACCGAAAAGGAGTATACTTCACCAGAATCTGGTGAGTGCAGTATATGTTGGTTGGAGCACTGGTTTATGGTGGAAGCACACTTTTGAACAAATACTTTTTTTGTTTTTTATTTTTAGATTTTTTTTGACACTTTATATATTCATAATTTCACACGATTTTTGGAGTGGGACTATTTATTCTATTTTCATATGTTATTATTTGCGCTGTTTATGATGATTTAAAATTTTTTGGTGTTTATTGCACTTATGTACAGCAGAATTTAATGTATTTATTAATTGGGTATACAGATTTCTTTGGTGCTGGGGATTTACGATTATATATTATACCACCTAGATAAGAGTTTGTAATGAACCTCTTCCATTTTGGAGGTGATAGAGGATTATGTGAGAAGGTTGAATCATCATGTCTTTTGAAATTTGAGGTTGATTTTGAGTTTTTTCCTATTGGGAGAAATATCCAGGATAAGGTGTTTGATCATCTTGTGTTAGAGCTTTATAGAACTGAGAGACCCATCTGGGTGGAAATTTAGATGAAAAAATGCACTCAATTGTCTTATTTCACCTTTGGTGTATAAGCATTTGTGGGGGATCCTAGGTCAGCTTGGGTTTAAAGGGATGATATTGAGGAAGTGTCTCATGAAGCCTGCATTAAAGGCTTCCATGTGCCTTTCTGATAAATTACATACAGTCAGGTCCATAAATATTGGGACATCGACACAATTCTAACATTTTTGACTCTATACACCACCACAATGGATTTGAAATGAAACAAACAAGATGTGCTGCAGACTGTCAGCTTTAATTTGAGGGCATTTACATCCAAATCAGGTGAACGGTATAGGAATTATAACAGTTTGCATATGTGCCTCCCACTTGTTAAGGGACCAAAAGTAATGGGACAGAATAAGACAGAATAGATATGCAGTTTTCTAGCTTATGTGGTGACATTGCTTGTCTACATTCACTGGTTGGTGCCCTGCAGTCTGAGACCAGGAGGCTGTCTAAGCCAATTTGTTCTTTTGAGCTTCCTTGCAAAAAGCTACCTCTTCCTCAAAGTGCAGGAGAAGGGCAGTGTGGACAACTGTTGGGTCAGGAAGAGTAAGGTCTGTGGACCATAAACATGTAGCGCTTGATTTGACACTCCTATGGTGTTCTTTCTGAGCTAGAAGCAGATACAAAGGTTGCAAATGTAGCTGATTGTGCGCGTAGGAAGGAGGACCCTGAGGAAAAAATTGCTTTGCCAAAAGTAATTGTTTTATCTGAGGTTCCATACCAGGCAAGTGTTATGGATAAGGCTCCTAAAAAGAGAATCCACGTGAGTAAAAACACTACACAATAGTAAAGGCACAGGTAGGTCACATTTAACTCCCTGATCACCCCCCCCCGCAGTTAACCCCTTCACTGCCCTGTCACCAGTGTCATTAGTACAGCTTATATAATCTACAGGACTGCACCCTAGACCTTTTGGATACCAAAAAAAAAAAAAAAAAAAGTGATATAAACAAAATATCACAACAAACAGGGCAGCTGCCATTCTGAATGGTGTGCTTCCTCTCCCAGAGGACGTCAAGTGATGAAATGCGTAGGATGGGGCTAGGAGGTGACGTCACCATGCCCAGCTACGGAGTCCCGGGATACAACCGGGGACGACCTTTGTTCACTACCTTATGCGATTATACTGTCAGTGTTGTGTGTGTCGGTGGAGACACTAAGCAATGTGAGTAGTTTTACGCTTTTATTGGAATAAATAGTTGGTATGGTTTTATGCTATGGAAGTCCCTCTTTTCTTTCCTTCTCTTTTGTGAGTCACTATAAGATAGCACGATATTGGTCCTAAGAACCTTTGAAGATAGGATCACAAGCTGCAGAACGTCACTCCCAGAGCTAACTGGTGCTTTTGCTGGTTTATAACCTGACAAGCATATCGCTGTAGTGAGTTCATTTAGGCTATCAGGTGGTGGATGAGCACAGTATGGTGACTGAAAAAAGAATTTAACTTGGAGTATTTTGGAGGTTGCAAGACTATATACTGGACTTTGCTACATCGCTTACACTTTATATATGATTGCACTGGACACTGTAATATTTTTGTTTTATGTTATATAGACGTAACAGTCTGATTTGCACTGGATTTTTTTATATACAGTAAGGTATACTGAAATAAATGAACTTTTGCATGATATTCTAATTTTTCGAGTTTCACCTGTATACAGGTGAAACTCGAAAAATTAGAATATCGTGCAAAAGTTCATTTATTTCAGTAATGCAACTTAAAAGGTGAAACTAATATATGAGATAGACTCATTACATACAAAGCAAGATAGTTCAAGCCGTGATTTGTCATAATTGTGATGATTATGGCTTACAGCTCATGAAAACCCCAAATCCACAAACTCAGAAAATTAGATTATTACATGCAATCAATAAAAAAGGATTGTACATAGAACAATATCGGACCTCTGAAAAGTATAAGCATGCATATGTACTCAGTAATTGGTTTGGGCCCCTTTTGCAGTAATTACTGCCTCAATGCAGTGTGGCATGGAAGCTATCAGCCTGTGGCACTGCTGAGGTGTTATGGAAGACCAGGATGCTTCAATAGCGGCCTTCAGCTCTTCTGCATTGTTCGGTCTCATGTCCCTCATCTTTCTCTTGGCAATGCCCCATAGATTCTCTATGGGGTTCAGGTCAGGCGAGTTTGCTGGCCAATCAAGCACAGTAATCCCAAGGTCATTGAACCAGGTTTTGGTAGTGTGGGCAGGTGCCAAGTCCTGCTGGAAAATGAAGTCAGCATCCCCATAAAGCTTGTCTGCGGAAGGAAGCATGAAGTGCTCCAAAATCTCCTGGTAGATGGCTGTGTTGACCCTGGACTTAATGAAGTGGTCCAACACCAGCAGATGACATGGCTCCCCAAATAAACACAGACTGTAGAAACTTCACACTGGACTTCAAGCATCTTGCAGTGTGTGCCTCTCCATTCTTCCTCCATACTCTGGGTTCTTGGTTTCCAAATGAGATGCAAAAGTTGCTCTCATCAGGAAGGAAAGGGGA